TTCAGGTCATTTCTAAGGTGTCTAATCTGCCTGTTTGGGCTGGTTTTTAATAAATTTTCTGATTTGTACCTTAAGAAGAAAGCAATGTATTCTAGAAAAATACCTTGACAAGGAGTCTGTGCATGATGGAGATGTTAAGTCTAATGCTCATACCACCTAAGGTACTGAATATTTTTCTGTGTGGGAGCAGTGGTCCTTCTGACTCTTGAAGCTATGCTGTATTCCAAAAAAGAAGTCAGGACTGCTGCAGTTAAACATTGTGTGCACCTTGTTTTAATGACAGATGTAGCTTTCTAAAAACTGTGTGAATCCTTTTGGCCTGGAAATCTTCCCTTTGGAGGAAATATTGGAAGCTGGCATTTTAATTGTAGACCAAGATATTTAAAGGGAAAGTCTTGCATTCACAACTGATAAAGACAGTAAACTTTACTAACATGCTATTTGTTTTCAACCAATTGTGAGTTAACCTCTTAAATATTTTTATGAATGCAGAATTTTGCCGATTCTCACTAAAATCAAGACAGACTATTGCTAGAAGTCATAAAACAGGTCAAAATGCTAGAAATTTCTGAGTGCCTCCACTGTACTTAAAAAACACTCCAAATTCCCCTACCCTCTGCCAATATCAATAAGCAAAAAACTTTGTCTAGCAGGGGGCAGGGTTGGGAGTTGAACAAATGCTTCAGGCAAATAGCCTGATAGTTAACACTAAAGACAGGGGTTAGCTTAGTATCAGGCAGCATTTCAGGGAAAGTATGGCACCCTGTAGTGTGAGACTTTTTAAGGCCTGGTTTTGCACACAATAACTCTGCATTTAACATAAATGTGACTGGAATTATAATATAACTACAAAAATGTTCAGTGTTTTATTCATGGGGGAAATAATTTTAGAAAACACAAGCTGAAGTTAGGTACTTTTATCTTTATAAATAAATGTGCCTTGTTATTTTTTTAAAAGGTGATGACTATGCACTGTGTTAATGGCTATTCAGGAGCATTAAGAATCATATAAATATCAGGTCATATTGGTGTAGGCACCTAAGTATGGAATCCATGTGCTGAGTGGTTCTTTTTCTGTTGGTTCTACCTGGCTTTTTTCAGTCATTAGGACTTTGGTTTGAAATTTGAAATTCCTCACTGCAGGGCATATGTTTGTGCTGTTTCTGCAGATTGGAACTTCCGAAACAGATGGCATGAAGATTCTGAAGAATCAGACTTGGACACCCTCTCTTAAAAGTCTACGAACACATTATTTAATTATTGTAGTGGAGATGACAGTTGAGTGTGGAAGAAGACTTGGGGGAGTAGAGTCCAGCCTTGCTTCTCTTGCTCCTCCCTCCTCCCACGCTGATTACCTTATGTGCTCTTATTCTTTTAAACACTTTCTGGCTTTTTTTCTCCTTCTGGTTGTTTTTTAGTATAAGAGCTAGGGTCTACCTTTTCTTTTCCTGTATTAAATGCTAGGTTGTATTTGTCAACATCTATTTTACATTCTGAGTTAATTTGATTAGTGAAATATAAACAGTAATATATTTTATTTTGAAGCAACATTTTTTATAAGAATAATTTTTTTGAGGGATAAAGATGTGTTGCACATACTTCTGGGATCTTGGCTGATTTTTAGTATATTGAAAAATGGAAAGGGGATATGTAGGAATGCTGTACCTCCTTGACTGCTCCCATAGGCAATGAAAATGATTAATGCTTGTCATGCTGAGCCTGGTGCTTTCCTCTGATAGGAAGATCTTGGACCTGCTTATTTCATACTTCCAGTGACTGAAATAGAAGTTATTGAGGTGTTCCTTTTTCTGACCTTGGGAAGAACTGAAATTTCCTTGTATTTATAAACTAGAGAGGAAAGAAGAAGATTTAAGTGCTACTGAGGTAATTTTTTCTGTCTACTAATAGGTATAGTCAAAGAAAGTGAAACAGCTTGGTTTAGAACAAAGTTTGAGAGTATATGGTAATGAAAACTGTAATGAGAGCTTGTTCTCAATTAGTGCCTCTTTTCTTGTCTGCTGCTTCTGAGACAAATTTTTCAGGGAGAAAAATGGAACAGAGTGAAGATGACTGGCCAACTTAATGCATCATGATAACCACTAATAAAAATAAAGTGGTCACTCAAGATTCCTCATCTCTATGGGAGGTCAACACAACTGCATCTTTAACGTAGTCCTTCCACCCTTTAATTCTTAAAGTATCCTCTGTTTCTAGGAAGAGAAGTATAGCAACGTAATTCCAAGGAAAAATGGGATTTCGAATTTATCCTTTTTCATCTGATCCACTCCCCTTGAACTACATTGCCGGCAAATCCGACAAGAGACTTTGCTTCAAACACAACAGAAAGTACAGACTGAGCAACTTCCAACTGGAAAAAAACCTCAGAAATCACTCTAACTGATGAGTTTTGCACCATCACGTTTAATTCATTAGACAAAAACTGTGACAGAAGTTGATGATGGTCTATTAGGTGACTGTCTGTTGTCTCCTGCTGCATTTGAATCCCTTACGAGGAAGAGAAAAAGCGCACAGCATTTGTGTTTTATAAGGTAGCAGATGTCATAGCTGTGAGCTGGGGTGGTCTGTTGTCCTAGACTTGCACAGGATTTATTTCCCTGTACTGGAAAGCTGAGTGAGAATACTCACAGAGAATATAAACTGATTTTTTTTTTCTCATTGCTTTTTGTTGTGTTGTTTTGTTTTGCTTTAGCTGTGCTGCTGTAGTCCAAGGCCACCTCCAAGGCTTCCTGCTCCCTGAGCTGAATGGCCACAGGCAGCTCATTATCATGACTTGTGTTGCTGTCTTCAGCATTTTAAAAAGTCTTTTTCTATTTCTTCAGCAATAAGAGTGTAGTCATCTGCACTGCGACTCTTAACCCTTTTAAGAGGAATTTCTGTTAAAATCATCCGTCAAGAGCCTCAGCATGGGCTGTACGTGCTCCTGCTGTAAAACAAGCATATCACCAAACTTGATGAGCGCGTGGAGAAGACTGTAGTTGTGGGTACGTGCCATAGGGTCCCCAGTCAGGGTACTCACGTGGATTCCTACCCTGGCTGTATTGTGAGAATACTGAGAAATAGAATAGAATATTTCAGTTGGAAGGGACTTAAAAAATGATCGTCAATACTTGGAAAGGTGCTTTAATTCTCTCCTTTGCTTTCCCTTTCTATACTGTCTCTCTCCTTTCTGGCACTTCAGCTTGTAAAATCCTTTAGGTTCGGACTGAAACAGGCTTGCTGGAGAGACTAATGAAACTGTCCCTGACCTTCAATGCTGCCTGAGTAGTACCTATTTTAAGGTGATGGGATGCTGTTTTGTCTACTCACCTCTACAGGCTCCGTCCCATTCACAGTGCACCCTACCAGACACCTCTTTTAATTTCATCTTTGAATCCTTGTAAATACTGCAGGGATTTAAATATTTCATGCGAGTTTATCCCGAATGGCTGAACATAGTTTCTGTGTGACTGGAGTAGGACTTCTAAGTTGTGTGTGTGGAATCAGGCTCTGCTGCAAACAGGCTGCATTGCTGCTGATCTCTCTTGCTTAGCAGTGGGAATGCTGCCAAAGGATAGGCATCTCATAAAATCAACTGTAGGCATCAACCATGGGTGTTTTGGCAGTATTGAAATCAATAGTGATGTGGTCTTTTTGCCTTTTGTATTAAGTGTAAGTACTGGGCTGCAACTTAGGCCCATGGAAACCTTGGATCTACTTTTTCCAAGGTCTGCCTCTTTCCCCTGGAAGACTTAGATTTGAGGCTGTTGATTCATGAATACAAAGAGATTTTTCAGTGTTTTAGGAGCTTGAGATTAATGTTTCCCATATCCTGAAGATTGGTGTTGTGGCAAGGGTGGCTTAATATCATGTGGAACTCTTGAGCTACCATCATTTAATAGCTGTAATATTAAAGCAGATCTTCATGGACTTCATGCTTATTTAGTTTGTAACGAAACTGCTGTATATGTAGTTCCACTGAAAAAAACAGGTGTTTGGAGAGGAGTTAGGCCATCAGTGTGCATTAAAATCTCTCTGTGGTTTTCAAATGGACTTGTTTTTCCTTGATCTGAAGTTTGGAAAACATGAGTGAGCTGATCTGATTTTTTTTTAATTATTTTTGGATTTTTGCCATTAGTGAGAGAGAAGCATGGTGGCAGGAGATACAGTTGCAGTTCCTTCCTCACCTTCCTACCAACTTCATCACAAACTAGAGAAGCAGCTGCCGTAACAAGTTAGGGCAACAATGCATTGCTGGTTGTTGATTAGATGCTTGAAATGAGCATGTGTTCAGTAAGGCAACAATTAAAGACCAACTGATGATAACATGCTTGTTTGTCTTTAAATAAGAACTTCTATCTAGCTGTTTAATGAAGGGTTTACAATGGTTATTTAGGTTTTGTGCATGAAGTCCAGGTGAGATGTGTCCTGCATGCTCATGAATAAACTGAGAGGAGTATTTTTGAAACAAATTAAAAGCATCTTGAACGCCCTTTTGTATTGAGGTTGTCGGTGCTTGTCAAAATTTGAAGCCACTTGGTAGCATCTCCTGTTTTTATTGTGTGTAGAGTTATGAGCATCTCGAATCTGATTGCTGTTCTCTGAACTAACTCCTTTATCAAATATATCTACAGTTCTCCAGTCAGAGTTCTTGAGTTTCACTGTTTATGCTCTGTGGTTTCTTTTTCAGCTTACTTAAGAATGTATGGTTTCACCACATTTATTTACCCCTTCATTAACATTTTTTTAAAGGGAATGCATCAGTCTGTCCGGTGTCCTGTGGCAAGGGATGTCCAGTAGCCAAATTTAGAAGTGGAATGTGCTTTGCTCGGCTGTTTTGTTCTCAGTTATGCCATTGCACTGGAGAGGAATGGCTGTCTTTCATATTGCATTCAAAGCGTATGGGTTCTTGTCTCAGTCATGAAGCTGAGAGAGGAACATATTTGGAGTAACTGAAGCAAAGATTAAACTTACAGATATTTTAGAGTTTTTGTTTATTGCAGGTAATCAAAGTGTATAGTGAAGATGATACTAGCAGAGCTTTGGAAGTACCCAGTGATATAACAGCCAGGGATGTATGTCAGCTCTTGATATTGAAGAACCACTATATTGATGACCACAGCTGGACTCTCTTTGAACAACTTACCCACACAGGTTTAGGTAAGACTAATACTATATAATAGTATGGTGGTAAATAAGGTGTTTGGTTTTCATTTTCACATAGAAGTACAATTTCAATAGAATGGCTTGAAAGGAAAATGATGGGAAGTCTTGCGTGAATTTGTTCTTTTGGAGGATTGTTGCTTCTGGTTCTCTTTTTTTGAAAGCATAGCTATAAAGTGGATTTTTTAATGGTGCATTTGCCTCACATTGCTTGATCTGCATTTGTAAGAGTGATTTGGAAGACACTGACAGTTAAGATTCTCACTGCAAATTCTTCCTTGCTCTTCCTTGATATTCTTTGGCAGTCCTTCCTCTCTTTCTGGTATCTCTAGAAAGACTTGGGTAATTTTCATTGCCGATAAAATCCTGTTTGTTCCCAAGACACCTGAGTGAAATCTCTGACATCAGGGGCAGAAACCAGTTACACAGTGCTATTCTACCTGGACAATAGTACTCAGTCTTCAGAAACTACATCAGAGTGGGCTGTCAGTATTTTCCTGCAATACAATCAGTTTGGCTGGATTTATGGTGAACTCTGGGATAGGGCTACTTAAAAAGCAGACCAAACCCATTCTTCTAAACCTCCAGATATGGACCAATGAACTGTGTTGAAGTGACTCCATGTATTTTAAGTTGCTGGAAACAAAATGTTCTGAACTCCTTTCACATCATCAGTGTTCCTCTAGTGTAGTAAAACTCTTTCTATTATACAGTTTAAAAGGTGTAACCTGTGGTTTCAGAACATAGCTATAAGTTTAACTCCTGGTTTCTGTTCCTTTTTGAAGTGTATAGATGTACTTTTGTAGTATAAAAACAAAAAGGCAAATTAATTATAGTGAGGAGTGGGATGTTTTCAGAGATGTAAAAAATGCAGCACTCAGGAAAGACTTCACTCAGCAAGAGATGAGTTTAGAAGTGCACTGCTGGGATGTAGTATTGAACTGAAACTCTAGTCAGACAATCTTAACTCCTTTTATAGCACTATGTTTCTGTACTGTATTGTGTATGGTTTTGATAGGAAAGTATATTAAAAAAAATCTACTAGAGACAAATGCTGTAAAAAATCTGGCTTTAATTTCACGTCACCCAAAGTTTGTGTATTATTCTTGAACTTTGGCACTGGACTGGAGTTACAAAACGTAGTACTTCTGCAAATTCAAGGGCAGTTCCAGCTGCTAGTGCAAAGTGTACCTTGAGAAGGAGGATGTTCTAGAGGCCTTCCTGCATTCTAAAATATGTAGGAAACTCCTTGGAGTTCTTAATTCTCAGAAGAGACTGCACTGGTACCTGGTAACTCCAGTACTGTTGATTTTTAAAAAAAAAGAGTACACATCACAAACAAAAAACCAAATGCCCCCCCCCCCCCTTCTCCCCAACCATGGATATTTAAATATGTCTAAAAGCTGTTTTTAAGGTCCCTTTCTCTGTATGTATCTAGGGAGTGCAGCCTTGTGCATTTGTAGAAAATAAACTTGACTGTGCATCTCTGACTCAATTATGTTCAACAGCTGTATTTTAAGGATGAACTACAAGAGCTAAAACGGGTTTCTGCCCTTTAATGCTCCTTTATGCTATGAAGGCAGCCACAAACGTTTTTCAAATTTCTTTTCTTGCTTTGTAACATTTCAAAGATATTTGTAACCTTTTGCACTGAACGTATCAGCTGTAAGATGCTTCCAACTCAGAGTAAGGTCAGAGTTAAATCTGGGTCGAGGCTGTAAACGACTGCTATAGAAGAGGAGGTAGCAAAATGGCTTTAGAAAACACTTCTACATAAATAGCAAAAGTGTTTTCTGTGTTTTATAGTGTAGCTGGTGTTTAAATAGCATAGTAACTATTGAAGAAGACACCTTTGACAAACCATGCCAGAACAATAGTGGCACTGTTTATCCAGGTTTATTTATTTACACGGTACACTTTTTGCCAAATAATCTGTTTTCTTCAATCTGAAGGTTTTCTTGGAGGATTTCAATATCAAATAATTGGTGAAGTTGCTTTTCCTAAGATTCTGATATTTTCAATTGCTGGAGACCTACATTAACCATGCAGTCTTCTGACTGCTCCAGCTGCTTTCAACATAGTTCTAGAAAAAGGTTCATTTTAAAAGTAAAATTATTTCCTAGATGATGAGGTTGGCAATTCAACATTGCTAGCCAAGGAAAGGAACAACCTGAGATATCCTCTATTTTTTTTTTTTAATAGTACTGAACGATAATGGAATTATCTTTACGATACTGTTAGATCTGATTTTGTTTGAAAGGTTTAACATATTGATCTTGACTTGCGTTAAGTATATTCGTAAGCACTGGATGAGTGGCTTGAACAAACATTTTTCTAATGATGAGTTAGTTTTGGATTGTTTGCTGTTTATTATTGCGTGTTTTACTCATGTAAATTTGGACAGTCATTTTCATCTCACAAGTGAAGTGAATTGGTAATGAAAGGAGCGAGTCTAATGAAAGCTGTGAGCGAGTGTGTGTGTCTGTGTAAATTCCAGTATGATGTGGATTAATAATTCATCCGTCAATTAGTGAACATTTTCTTTAACATCTAACAGCTGTCTGAATACTCCTGAATTAGATATAATTGCATGAATCTTAGTGAGTTGAGCACAGCGTTCTACTTTTAATCAAGACAGACATTAATTACATCACTGGATTGTGCCTTTATTTCCGTGTGGAAGCATCTGCTGTGAAGGTTTAAAAAGGGAAAAACCCCAACAAAACTGCCACCTAAACCAAAACATAAACCCACAGTCTCTATATTTTAGTTTTCACAAACATATATGCCCTTTGGTGTGGAGCTATGTTGTTGAACATTAAGCATGGTATCCTTGCTGTATTGCCTGGCAGGTGCTGACCAGGTGGAGTTGGCTCAGGGCAAGTGGGCAGGTGAGGTGGTCCTGCTTCCTGTGGCACTGGCTGGTGCACCCCGTCTGCCTGCCATGGAGCACCCACACTGCACCCAGCCCACTGCCTTGTCACCCGGGATGCTCAGACTTCCTCCCCACCTCCAAAGTTTTGCAGTAGCCTGGGCTCTATTTCAAATATCTGAAGTACAACAATTATTGCAGCCTTATAAATGACAATATATTTCAGAACTGTATGTTTTTGGTATGTGTCCTCTTTGTCTTAAAATATTGAATTCAAATAAATTTTTGAATGTTTTTTAGCTTGTCTAAAATTATTGAAGGCAGCTGGAACATGCCTAGATTTGGATGATCACCTACCTTGGTGCTGGGAGTCCCATACTTTTCAGTACAATTCCCTTGTGCGAGACAGGCTCTGAAAACAGAATGGTTTGCTATAACTGCTCTCCTTTTCAAGAGAAGTACTGTCTTCATCCTGAATTTTCTTCCGAGAAGTTTTTGTGCTGACTGTAAATGGTTTTGTTTACTTCTGCAGCTGAACACCTGTTCTAGGGCTCCTCTTTGAGTAGGTGCCTTGGCCAGGCACATCATCGATGTCTTTCAGTCTCTCATTTTGATTTCACTCTCTGCATTCTCTTAGGTAGCCTTTGGGAAGGCTTGTAAAGCACTACCTGTGCAATAATACTGAGCAATGGCTTTCTGGTTTTTATTTAGTTTAAACTTTTTTCCTTGCTGGGTGGCCAGAGAGGAGGCTACCTAAAAGGTGTTCTGTCATGCACTTCAATATTAAATCTTCTTTTATGTGCATTAGTTACTTTCCATAGTTAAAGAGACTGTTTTCGATTGTAACAAGCACTTCTCATGTTAGAGATAGTAATAATAAAGACCACAGAAAGGACGGTAGAAACTCTCCAGTCTAGAAGAGAAAAATGATCTATCTAAACTGAAGTACAGCTTTTGCATGTCAGCATTTAGGGATTTGATTACAGGGCTGTGTTTTGGAGGGCACTAACTCAGTGTTTCAGTTCCTTCAAGAAAGCAGGTTGACTCACTTGTAAAGTATTCTCTGATGTGACACCTTAAAAATAAAGAAATACCAGCATCCTTAACCATCCATTGGAGTGATGCAGAGTGTCTTATTTTTCTACCAAGAAGTAAGTCTTGAGGAAATGGTGTTTTCTTAAATGTCACAATACCATTTAAGAGTTTTAAATGTCACCCTAGAGGAGCACTTCCTCTCTATAAAACTGGAAGAAAAAAAAAGTAAGAGCATCAGTTCTTTAGTGTCTCTTTGCCCTTGCATCTACAGAATGTGTTTTGGAGTAGAGAAGCCTGTACAAGATTTTAAAATGCTTACGTTTCGGTATTTTTAGGGTATCTTTTGTTTTCTGAATTGCTTTATGATTTTATTTACTTCATTTAATCTGATTACAAAATGTGATTTTCATATAGCATCCCTAATCTCTGTCTTTATGGACGCAAGTATTAGTTAAATTCAATGGAAGTTTAACTTTGCTCCACTTGATCTGTGGATCATGAGAGTTCTTGGTCTTCTGCTACTCATGAGCTTGATATTTGCTTTTGTTTGTTTGTTTGTTTGTTTGTGGGGTTTTTGTTTGTTTGTTTGTTTTTAATTTGCTTGTGGGTTTTTTTTACAGGAAGAGCTATAGAAGACCATGAATTAGTGATGGAAGTTCAATCAAATTGGGTAATGGAAGAGGAAACCAAACTGTATTTTAGAAAAAATTATGCCAAGTATGAGTTTTTTAAAAACCCCCTGGTAAGTTCTAACATTGTATCTGTGAAGTAGTGCAAAGACAAAATAGTCTTTTCTGTTACAGACAGATAGGCAGAGTGTGAAGTTGTTAGCATAACATGAGTCAAAAGGAATTATTGAGAGGGAATATATGAAATATGGGAATATATTGTAGTGCATATAACTGTTGGCCAGTCCCTTTGTTGCAATTGTAAAACATCCATGTTCAATATTTTATTGTTTGGGGGTCGTGGGGTCAGCAGTGGGTTTAACTTCATTGCACACGGACCTGCGACAAAATAAATTTTTTGCAATTGAGTGAACTTTCCAGCAAGTGACCACAAAATAGCAGTGTGAGGAGGGGCACCTGTAGCAAAGATGATTTTATTGTTGAAATGCAGATTGAATATTATAGCCCAGCGCTGCCCAGTGGCAGCTTCTCCCAGCTGCAGCTAAATGACAACTGACACAAAACACCATGAGCAGCCATAGCCTTTTAGGGGTAAGTGAAAGTTAGTGTGCATAAGGAATGGAAAGAGAGAAGAGACGACTTGTAATACAGGGATGTAGCCAAAGGTTAATGCTGCTGATTCAGACTTTGGCTGATGGCAAAGGCCATGGAAGCAGTCCTGGCTCAGCAGGAGAAACCATCTGGTTGCTCAAGTGCATGGTGTATTTGGACCACTTCTAATGCTGTCTTTTATAAAGCCAGCTCATTTCAGATGTCAAAGGGAGAAACAGCAGAAATATATGAGGGCTGAAAAGGTAACAAGTGGAAGGGAACTCAAATTATCTACCTGTGAAAAGGATAAAAAGGTAAATATAAGGATAACAAAAAATATAAGAGATTTGAGAGGTTTTATGTTTGATTCACCTGTGTGTCTCTGGACAAATCATGTACTCCTCACATATGGAGATGTCAGTACACCAGTAAAAAATTTCTTAGCTTAAGATGGTCTAGAGTTAGTAAAGAAGCTTTCACAGAATCACAAAGTGGGTAAAGTTGGAAGGGACCAGGGTCATCTGGTCCAACCTGTCTGCTCAAGCAGGGTCATCCTAGAGCACGCGGCACAGGATTCAGACAGTTCTTGCATATCTCCAGTGGGGAGATTCCACAACCTCTCTGGGCAGTCTGTTCCAGTACATGGTCACCCTCACAATAAAGATGTTCTTCTCATATTAGCTGGGACTTCCTGTGCATCGGTTTCTGCCTCTTGCCTCCAAAGACTGAGTTGATGTATTGGTTAACCAGTGAGAGGAACCAGCTGTGGAGTGTGGCAGGCATGCAGCTATAACTAGAGTCAGCAGCTGTAGCTCATTAGAGTTCTTGCTGTTCCTGCTGAGTGATTCTTCTGTGGTCCCAGGTGTAGCAAGAATGCTTTATCAGAATGAATTTATATGAATTACCCTACCAGTAGTTCAGTGTTATTAAAAATGGAAATCGGTGGACATTGGGTGGCCAAGGGAATATTAGCTTCAAACTTCTCCAGGCCTTGAGAAAACATTATTTTTGATGGTCAAACCCTTGTCTAGTTCGTATCTGCATGACTATATTGAACTCCTCAGCTGCAGGTCTTGAGCTTTCCTTCATAATGAAATTGTCATTTTAAATGTGGACTTTTTAATCCCATCATGTTGATGTAGTCAGATTTTTATGTTAATTCATATCATACAAAGTGGAAAATTAAAAACCACAAAGACTTATTCTGTATTAATGGAAGTTATTCCCAAATATTTTACTGGTTTATTTTATTTTATTTCTAGTGTAATGGAAACAGTAGAAAACAATATAGTTTTCAACACACTGGTGTATATCCTCCCTACTTTGTAGCATATTGAATCCCCAGGCAAGAAATTACTACCAAAAAACCAACACTAAGGCCCAAATATTGCAATATGAGACCCAAATATTGCAATATGATTTGCACTGCTGTCTGAAATTCTCTTCCAGAGACCACTGATGTTTTCTCAAAATTTTAAGTTTTTCAGCAAATAATACATAGGATGTCACAAATTTTGGGATGACATTAAGGTAAGCTTAAATTATTGGATCAGAGAATCTGCAGTGCCTTGCACCGCATTGAGAACTTAAATTGGACATCCAAAAGAGATAGAAAGTTTTATATTTATTTTTACAGAACTTTCATACACATTTTTGTTGTTATAGAACTTTTTTCCAGATCATATGATATCTTTTCCAAGTGAGACAAATGCTGCTCTAAGCCACTCTGGGATATTACAGGTATGTAACCCTTCAATGAAGATGAGCCAGCATAGCTCAGAATTTCCCATTGTTTGTGTTGTGTGAGCATAGTTCTTTATTGCTGTTGGATCTGTTGCTGTGTTTTGAATAACTCAAAACATGGTTAAGAACTTTTTTCCTTATGAGATATGAAATGCTGTGTCCCTTCCAGGCAGTTATTATATGTCCACACTTGCAAACTTTCACATTCTTTCAGAAGCAAAAAGCACCAAAACAGACAAAATGCAATGAAAACGTTAGATACCTTTATTGGGTATTTTAGGTGAAAGACCCTTTTTCCTTAAAAACTATTGCAGTACTCAGCACATACTTAGCAGAAGGCTATGGTAGAATACTGAAGAACTGGTGATGTGATACAAATGGATATAAAAAGAGCTAAATGGTTAAACCTAATGAGTAGAAAATTTAGACTGACTAGTATGATTTGTTAGCTTGAAGGCTACTGTAGCCTTCAAAAGAAATTATGGTAGGTCACTCAGTGTTAGTCATCTTTTAAGCAGACACAAGATTCTAATTTACAGTGAGAATAATGAAATGATAATACAGAATGACCATATCAGGGATCATCGTTTTACTTTCAAAGGGGGCAAATGAGTAATAAAGGTGGAAACATACACATCACTCTTGCTTGCTTGTCACTAGAAAAATTAAATAATAGAAAAAGAACTTCCACTGATCTTAAGACAACAGCACTATGTATAAGTTTTGCTGATCAAGAATAACTGGAAAGGCAACATAGTAACACAGGATATTTAAGGTAGAAGTAAAAGAAACAGAAATTACATTTTTTTAAAAATCAATATAGTAAAGTCTACCTTAGCATCCACCAGTAAATGAAAAACATTTTAGAGAACTAATTCTCAAAGGATTTCTCTATATTAAATAGTTGTATCCATATAAAAATATTTGCTCTCAAATATAATTTGGTAGTTTCAAAAATAATAATAAAGACTTTTGAAAGGGAACCGTTTGACATATACTCTTGCACAGAACATGTGCAGAGCTTGTGGGTAAGATTAAGAATCATTCTAAATATATCTAGTTACTTGCCATTTTGATAGCTTGAAAAATATGTTGCAAACTCTCCTCTGTTGCTCTTTGATGTTGTATTGTATGTTTAATTGTATTTCATCCAATAAAACTTAGTAGGCACAAAGTAGAGAATACCTCGGTGAATTGTGCAGCCTTTGTGCACGTTTCAGCAGAAGCTGTTGGGTAAATTGTTTACAGTGAGTCACTATTTCCTTGGAAACTCTCATTAAGACAAGTTAATGGGCTTGCATTATTATTTGTGATGTGCTTAGTCAAGTATCAAGAGAGACATTAGTTTTAACAACTCAATGCTTACAAGTGATTAAAAAATCACTTCTGATACTATTACAGCTTTTTGTGGATTGAGCTGTAAGCAAGTAAATATGTTTTTCTTGACTTTCACTGAAAGTGAAAGAGTGAGTATTTTGGCTGATGACTTTAAATCAGGGCATCTTTGTAGAACAGAGCCACAAAACCAAAAAGAAATTCACCTGTCTTTTATCCATTTAGCATGTGCTAAGTAAAAATACTAGGTCTGGGATATACTGAATGTCTGTGTATCCCAAAGAGAGAGGTTTAATCGCTGCTGTGAAGATCTTTAGCCTAAGAAAGAAGTGTGTCGCTGTATTGATTACAGTATAGCTGCTCTGAGACACAACACTCTGCACATGTCTAGTGCTAGGCAATATGGATCATTTGGAACTTGCTTCAGGTTATTTTTGCAAATTGGATGCTTTAAAATATGTCAAAAAATGAATATAGTATGAAGATTTTAAGATTATTATTAAGAGCCAAGCTTTAATGTCTTTAATCGCTCTGCCATATAAAGTCTCTCTTTCCCTGGCTAGTTTCTCACCTGACTCCACCATTCCAGTCTTTAGGCCAAAATAGCCGTGCTCTGAATTTCAGTCCCTTATCAGTCTCCTGGATGTTGTTTTAATCTGCCTGTTGCCTTTCTCCATCTTCCACTGTAGGTTTTGTTGGCCTTTCTCCTGGTTTAAACTCCTCAGGTTGACTGAGGTCTCTAGGAGACAATACTGAGAATCAGAATCAGTTCTTCACTAGAATTACTTGGTGCTCCCAAAATTTCTCAGCAGGTTCAGGGTAAAATCCAGCTCATTCCCAATAGCATTGGTCTGGATTGTGGCCAGCTGTCTCACATCTGTGAAGAAATCAGTCATCAAATTCAACTTGAGTCACAAAGTCTTAGGATAATGATGGCTTCTTTAACTCTTTAAAATACTTTGTAAATGCTCAAGAAGCATCCACCTTAGCAAATGTTCCTGTTTCTGTTGCCGCAACCATTCTCTCCTTGAAAACATTGAAGATGCAGACAAATAAGTTGTGTAGTTAGAAGTGAAGCTCTCAATCTTTATTGCATTCAGTGACATGTGATTTCTGCGGTTTATATTATTATATTCATCTGACACATTGCAATGTTTTATCTGTTCTGTTGTTTTATCACTTTCTAATTGATTTCATATTTTATTTGTTTAGGATTTTTTTGCAAAAAAAAAAAAGACATTTGCTTTGTTTTGTGTTCAGATTGGTTTTAAATTAGTTGGTTTTACGGCTAATCAAATGGTAATCAAGTCCTTGGTGCTGTCATATATTAGTATCTGAAAGATATATGGTGGTATTTGACACCACTCTACATATCATGTTATATATTTCACTGTGTGAGGAAGAGAGTGCAAGGAGCGCAAGTTTATTTCTGCATATTGTGTGACCACTAATCCCTGTCTGCAGTATACCATCATTTAACTCTACTTTTCTTGTTTTTGTCCTATTCCGATTACCTCTTATCTGCATAAACAGGGATCCGTTCCCTTCTGTTGTAAACTTGCATGTACCTTCACTAAAAACCCCAAACAACAAACCAAAACAGCCACAAAAAACCTGACCAAAACCAACCTGCAACAAAAGAACCTTAAGGAAGTATCTCTTCTACTATCGTTCATTTTTGGCATTTATTACAGACATTCAGTTCTCACTCTGAAATATTTTTACTGCTCATCTTTCTGACAGTTAATGGTTTTGACTACATCTTGTTCATGTTCTATTTTCTCACACAGTCCTCAGATGTCTTGGAAAGGAAAAGATGGATTTAGGATTGCCTTTTTCCTAGCATTATTGCTACTTTATTTTAATTGATAGCTTGGGTACAACAGTGACTGTTGAAGCTTAACATTGTATTGCTCCTCAACTTTGGTCTGCTGAGTAAGAAAAGTGTTTTTCATGACAGAATTTCTGATTTGAAGCTCTTATGGCAGGAATCCTGGGGAAGACACTTGTGCAGGCAGGAAGCCAACCACTCCTTTCAGCTTCAGCAGAGATATTAAAGCCTAAAAAGATGCTCTTTTGTTTTTTGCATACATTGACTCGTTCAGATTATCCTAAAGCTTCCATTTGACTTTGTTTGTGGATTTTATACTTTTTCGATTCAGCCTTTATATTCCCCACCAGTGAACCTGTTAATATGTGGCAAATGGGAAGATTAACAGGCTGGAACGCCTACCAAGACCTACCCGTCTGCTTCAATATGGCTAAAATAGCTTAAACTACATTTGCAGACAGCTGTGTGCCAGCAGCACATGTAGATAGATGTACCTATTTTTGCTGTAATTTAACTATTTGGGCGAATAGCAGTGGAGCTGCTCATAGCACATTCCTGGTTGTGGGCTAGGGCACTCCCCTGGCCAGTGGAGCCTGCCCGTGGTACTGCATTGACACCAGCTCAGGTTGGTCTGCAGGTGGTACAGTCATGCATTTCACTGCAAGGTAGGAAAACAATAAACGTCAAAGAAACCTTATGTAGCTTGGTTGGAGTGCATTATTTAGTGGCCAGAGAACTTGGTGTACTTCCAAAATCATGTTCACTTTTTCATTCTGCTGCAGTCCGGTACTGGCCAGTCTGTCTCTTGCCTTGTAATCTGTTGCTTCATTCCTCAGATCAGATTTTCTGGAAATGGCGGTGGATAGGAAGAAAATTCAGCCCTGAAAGCTGCAGATATCAAACAGAAAACCCTTTGATCCCTACCTCTATGTAAGCCTAGATAGTATTTTTGATACCACAGGCCAGCTTGGGGCAAGGTTCTTTGAAGACCTTGGTAGTAACACAGATTGCTTTGCATATTTATGGAAATGGAAGAATTCTGGGTTAATATGTTTAGAATCATATTTCTGAGTAGTTTTATTGGAAGAAGAGTGATAAAAATGAATGCATTATAAGGAATTAGAATAAAGTTAACTAGCTTGGTTGCTAGCTTTTAGTGGGTACTTTTGCAGACTGAGTAGAACTATTCTAAGCCTCAGCAAGATAACAGCTGTGTTGCACTCTGGTTGAAATGGCTGAAGAGAAGCCACTGAGTATCTTGAGTAGAGGCAGGACCTGTCTTGGGGACTGGCCCAGTCTCTCTGGTTTTGGTTCAGCTACAGCACTAGCTTAAGTACCACTTCAGGTGTTGAGCCCTTTACTCTCTCCTTTTGAAAATGCTAATATCTGCCTGACCTGCATGGATTTGTGATTCAGAGTTTGTGGTTTGCTTGTTGAATAATTTTAACTCAAGATAAGTTCTCTGATTTGTAACATGGGACTGGGGGAGGGATGTATTTTTTTTCTTCTGTTGGTAGCATTGATTAGCAGTTTTATATAAATAGGGTCTGAGGCATGGGATCAGTACTTCTTACACTGGTTTTGTTGCTGAAGTTAACATATTGCAGAAGTAATGCTCTCATTTCAAACCATATGTTCCATATAAATATGTAACTTGCTTAGCATACCTTGGAGTTGTGTAACATTCTACATGCTTTAAATCAGAGGTACTGCTAATGGGATTAGATGCAATCATAACTGAATTACTGTGGTGTGACAGTGTATTTAGGGGTTTATTCCCCTTAGTCCTGTGTGAGTATGTTAATGAAACAGAAAGCTGGTTTCAGATGAAAAGAAAAATGGGTGTCTGATATTTTCTTTCAGATGTTCCTAAGCTCCAGCACATATCCTGAGATTCATGGTTATTTGCATGCAAAGGAGCAGGGGAAAAAATCATGGAAAAAAATGTATTTTCTTTTAAGAAGATCTGGCCTTTATTTTTCCACTAAAGGTACTTCTAAGGTAAGGGAGGAAGAAAAAAGAGAGAGTGAGAACTATGAGGTCAGAGCAAAGATATATGTATTTATCATTTGTTGTAAGAAGAAAAAATATTTATAACCAATAACTTATAGTAATTAAAAAAAGAGAAAAAATAAATCTGTTTATTATGGATAAAATCTAGAGAGATATTGAGATATAAAATTGGGAAAGTGTTGTCTTAGAAACTGTACTTTCTTTTTGCCTGACAAGTTTGCTTCATTCTGGTTAATATTTTTCCAATCAGTTGAGTACCCTTCTAAAATGAATTTTCAAATACCGGTTAAAATTCTGAAGCACAAGTAGATACTCTGAGAAGTAGATATAGTACTTCATTATCTAAATTTAGAAATTTTATAGGATGACTTTGGGATTGCTAAGAATTTGTCACTGGACAGTTTTTCATTCTACTAGTTCAGATTTTTGATGGTGGTACTTTAAACCTTATCATATTAAACACTGGAGTCGAGACACCTTTTTTAAGTAGCTGAACTACTTAAAACAATGTTTTTTCTTGTTCTGAATTTGCTGTAATTAACTACCAGAGTATTCATTGAGCTGTTTTTGTATCCTTCAGCAAATGTCTTTTGTTTGCTTCCTTAAGATAATTAGCCTTAGCTGGTGGAGATAATGTTTAGGAATAGTACTGGGCAATAGTTATTACAGTATGTTGTTTTTCAGATCATGAAAGTATATTTTATTGGATTTTTGAAATGCATATTGCTCTCAAGATTTGACTCCTAATCTAATATTATTATGCCTTGAATTTAGTGGGAGTTTTCCCCAAAATTATATAATTTGTAGTTTGGTTTTTTTCCCTCTCTAGAAGAATAAACTCTTTAAGTAGTTTGTTTTTGTTTTTTTTTTTTCTCTGCATGATAAAATTAATATTGAGTTACCTCTTTCTAGATTTCATGATGTCACAGTTAAAACTGCAGTATGTAAGACTGTATTTTGGAACAGAATAACTACTTACTCTTCTGAGTTTCTTGTCTAGAGAGACTGGCTAAAGTAGTCTAACTGTATTACATTGCTTTTCTTTTCAGGAGCCAAGGCATCTGCAGTTTTTCTGTGAATTCAGCAATAGTGATATGTACATGTCTTTAACAGGCAAAAAGATTTCTGGAGCACCAACAAACTATGGATTCTGCTTTAAGGTACAAACTTATTATTCTGATACATATTAAAGCAAGCCACAGTTTTTAGGTAAGCTTAAATTTCTTTAAGGTTTTTGAAAACAATATTCAGCTGTCTTTTATAAAATAGGAGAATTAGTGGCTTTTATTTCAACAGGTATTATCTTCAAGATATGCATTAATGCTAAAAAAATGTGCTGTGGCCTTCTAGCCTAACAAATCAGGAGGAACCAGAGACCTGAAACAGCTCTGTGCAGATGATGAACAAAGTAGGACCTGTTGGATGACAGCAATTAGGTTGCTTAAGGTAATTTTTCTGTGTGAGTTAACTTGCTGAAGTTTAGTGTGTGATATTTTTGATGCTGTGCAGTAGAGAAGTAATATAATTTTAGGTTTCCATGCAATAACAATATAAGTTTTATACTCTGAAAGCTTATTTTTATTTATCCCAAGGAACAGAGAGACCAAATTGTTGGGGGGATTGTAGGGGATGAAATGATGCCTCAGTCCTGGAAATATTTAACATTAAGCGTATGCTTCTGTGTAACTGTGTTGGATTCAGTGAGATTGTTGACTAATATTGAACAAAGGGACAAGAATACAGAAGAAGGGAACTTTAGTGTTTTAAAAATGTGTCTGTGTTTGTGACAAAATAGGAATAGGTAAGTTGGCATGTTAAATGGGTAGTATTTAATGCAGAATGTACATTTATAAAGGCAGGAGCAACAATGAGGATGTACACTTCCTTATCCTAGCAGCGTTTGTCCCTGGTTTCTAACGGTGAAGAAAAAAATGTGTTATCTTTTACATCTGAAAAAAAAGCTTAATTGGCTTAAGTTTATAATTTAAAATGCTAACCATGTTATTTTCTGGTTTTAGTATGGGATGCAGCTCTATCAGAATTACATGCAACCATATCAAGGTAGAAGTGGCTGCAGCCCTTTGAATTTAACACCTATGGTATGTCCCACAGTAGCTCCGTGAATAAATACATGTTTCTGCAGTCATGCTGTTTTTAAGTAACTTGTGTCAGTTATATTACTGACCTGGTCCTTCAAAGTCTTGCATGTGCGAATGCTTGCTGAAATCTTTAGGGCTGTCAGGGTTGACTAGAGAGCTAATTAATTAATTTACTTACTTAATAGAAATTGGGTAGTTCAGAGCAATTAAAAGGCTTTTCCCCTTTGTCAAATCTCCTGCTGTCAAAAAGAATGGAAAGAGGATTTTGAAAAAAAAGAAGCAGAACTATAAATGCATTAAAAGAGAAGTAAAGTGTTTAAGGTTACACATGCTGTAAATGATGAATAAACAACTCGTAAAAAATTCTCTTCGGCATACTTCGTATTTAATTTTTTTTTAAAATATAAAATATTAAGTACTTGAGATGAATTTCAGGTGGTGTAATACTGATTGGACTTCAGAGTAAGATCATAATTTGGTAGGACTGGGTTATAGAGAAAAAACAGCCTGTGTGTCCATCTCCTCAGTCAGATAGTTGGAATTGTCCTTTTCTTTAATATAGTATCCCAGTTCTTTAGGAGTCATTTGATTTCAGACTTTTTCATGGATGATTTATATCCCTTTTGGTTCTTTTTTTTGGCTAAATTGGATAAAAATTACTTGTTGCAGGGATCTGTGACAATGATTTTATGGCGGATTTTTTTTTTAGTTTTTATTGTAGTTCTTGCTGGTAAAATGCATAAAACCCTCATTTGCTATTACAGACATTCACAAAAATAGTTTTCAGTAGTATTGCTAATAAGCATGGCTTCAGACTTGTGCTTAATATGCTGACTGTGTCTTTACTTTCTGTTCTGTGAAGCTGTTGCAGTTGGCAGCTGTGCTCTTGCAGTGGATCTGGGAGCCATTACTGATTCTCTCCTCTTACACTGTTTTGTGCATTTAGCTCCCATAGCTTGTAACACAGGCAGAATGTAAGCACTGTTAACAATGGCACTGCTTTTCTACTTGTGTATAATTCACAAATTAAACAGCATATTGAATAAACTTGGGGATTAAGTGCACACGCTAATGAACATACTTCAGAAGGGAGCCACTTCCATGTTTCACATTCCTCAATAACTCTCAACCACGTCAGCTACGAAGAGTTCCCTCCACTTTGCTGGAGGCAAACATTTTCTCATATTTTATCCTTGTTTTTTTATTTTTGCAAAGTTCTTTACAGGTTACAGTTACTCAGAGAGACCTTAGTTAGAGTATCGGGAATTACAGACCTTAGTTAGAGTATCAGGGATTACCCTGAGCTACAGAATTGCTCTTCCATTTCTAGTTGTATTCATGCTTGTAACCAAGCAAGAACAAAACAGAGCTGCTTTGGTTTGGGATTGGGAAGTTTTGCTAACCCTACAGAAATCTGGGCCTCTTGTGTACAGATGTTACTTTAACTTGTAGAGTGCTAGAATGTTCTTTTAGCTATTAGATATTCCAATGCCTGCCAACATTTGAGCTGTTACAATCCATATGAAACTTGATTTTGTAAACTTTGGTTTCTGAGAAACATTTTGGTGATTTTTAGGACTGTTTTGTCAAACTTCAGTGTTTTTATTCTGTTATCACTGAGAGAAAAAACCACAAGTTTTTTTTTCATAACTGATGCTGCAGTTATTGAGTCTGTGATAGGGGTTAGAAGGGATGTATTAAAATAGAAGTTATACTCAATAGAAATTGCTGTTTTCAGTGCTTAAATCTGGTAAAATCTGAGTGGAAGTTTATATATCAAATATATAAATTTATGACATTTATAACGAAATATTTTGAATCTTTTTAAATTTGATCATTATGTATAAGAATTTTATATTTTTTCTTCTTTTTCTGTTACTTGGACATCTGAATTACAGTTTCCTGCCTTGCTTTGATGTGCAAAGGGCTAGTTACAGTTAAAAATATAAGTAGAGTTAATGGTAAAGCCATGTATTTATCATCCATTGCAGTAATGCAAAAAGATGGTCTGTCCTGCCACATTGTAAAATTGAGCTTTGCAGCAGCATACTGGAATCACAAATGCTCCCTGGGGTAAAATGAGTTTGGCTCTGATGGGAAACACTGCTGATACTTGAAACATCACTTACAAAACATAGTGTTTTCTCAGAAGCTCGCTTTTAATGATAGATCTTGTAAAAAATGAGCAAACTAAATTTATTTTTCTTTGTTGCAGAGAAGCATTTCAGAAAATTCTTTAGTAGCAATGGATTTCTCAGGACACAGAAGCAGAATTATAGAAAATCCAACGGAAGCCCTTTCGGTTGCAGTTGAAGAAGGATTAGCATGGCGGGTATAAATACCTTTGCTTTATCAGAATAGTATTTTCTGATTTGCTTTTTTTTTAACAGAAAAGCTTTGAAATCATGTTTTTACTTCTCTCTTATACAGAGGAGAGGGTGTCTCCGACTCAACTCACATGGTAGTCCTATTGCCATGTCTAACATGGGTATGTGTGAGTTAATTTATTGCTAGAGAAATGCAATAACTGGTTCTTTCAGTAAAAGGAGAATGTTTTTCACAGATCTTTATTTCTATAGCTATACACAGATCTCAGTCGTGGTTTCATCATAAAATCTCTAGAGAAGAGGCTCAGAGACTTATTTTGCAGCATGGACTTGTAGATGGGTAAGTTAATTCTTTACATGGTTTTTTTGAGACATGTTCCTAGTGAACAATTCCTTCTTTTTATTGGAGAGGAGTTGGAAGAAGGAAAAGTTTGCACTAACCTAGTAGGAATAAAAAATTCTTTTATATAGGGCTATCTGGGGATCTGTTGCTTTCTATTTTATATCATTTGGAAGCAATAAAGTGGTGATCTAAGACTTCGATTCTGTCACTGACCGATTACTTATGTCCGCTCAGAGCAAAGCACTTGAGCTCTGTATTTGCACAATATTCTCTGGGAACTGTCAACTTTGGCACTAGTGTCTTTTGTATCTCTTAGTGATGAAAGAATGAAAGCAAGCCTGAAAAGATTTATTCTGAGATGAACTGTGCTGGGACAGACGTTGAAAAAAAAGTATGCTTTTTCTCGTGAATTGACGAAAAATTGTATCCTGCTTTAATAGTAAACAATAAAGAATAGGATAAAGGCTTTTATTTTTCTCTCATTTAAGTATTAATTTAAAAAAAATTACAAAGTAAGCAGGTATTCTATGTTCACATCCTCCTGGTTTTCGTTCCTGTATTTTTGTCCTTACTTCTGTAATAAAAGTAAACTTGGACCTCCTTCATTCAGTGAGTAATTCCGTAAAACTCTGTTTCTTTGAGTCTGTTTCCAGTTAAGTACCTGGAACATCAGATTGCTTGTTAAATTCCTTCAGTTTTAGATTAAGTATGTTGTAATACTATTTTCTACATCTACAGAAAGGGCTCCAGGGAAAAAAAATATGAAGGGAAGGAAAGGGGGAAAAACCCAGTCATACTTAGTGCAAGGATTGTTAATTGGTCTTCTGCTTTTGTATTTTTATTTATTATTTAATTTCAAGGGTCCTGTTTTTAGGCCTGGCTAATCATCCTGAAACCGATTCTGTACTCTGCATTTATTTTTGCATTTTTTACATGGGAGGGACAGGACATGGGGTTGCATCCCCCATGTATTTCTCAGCAGGATGTCATTCCAGGCCTGCTAATCTTCCAGTGTATTTCTTACACAGTAGATGAAACCCAGGAGATTTGGCGAGTAAAGAGCAATGGTGTTTGAAACGAGCAAGTGAATACCTTGTTAGCATTAGTTTAGTACAGTGTTGTTTACATGATATTCTTGGCTTTATTCATAGTTATGCACTGTGCTTCTTGGGAAGGATGATACTCTTGTGAGGACTGTCTAGAATTGATTAGAACATTGGTAGTATGAGCTCTCATATGCTGTCAGATACATATTCAGGAGTTACAATGAGGTAATGAATACATGATATCATGTGACTAATGCTGTGCTTTTTGATGGGCCAAAAGAATGAATTATAACCAGAAATACAGCCATTTCTGATGGGAATAATAAGACACTGTTCTGGGAGGGGAGGCAGGGAGAATAATCCCTCTTGAGCCTTTTAAGGTGATCACAAGCAAGGAGTTCTTGTGCATATATGACAGAGGTAGTAGGTCCTATGTAATACCGTATGTACCAACAAATATGTTGTCCGTGATAGTTTATAGAAGATAAGGGGACTATTATATAAAGGATCTACAGTAGTCTTAGTATTTGGATAAATCAACAACAGAATTAAGGACAGCAACCATCTTAAGGCACCCTATGAAGGAATAAAGTTCTGTTCTGATGTAAAAACAATTTTCTTAAAGAAACTTACATAGCAATATTGTAGATTTTGTACTTTACCCTCTAAAGGATGTTTGAAGACTTTTCAGTGATAAATGGTTAACAGGATTGCGAACTGATCAGCATCTGGTTGATGAATGGGATAACAGAATTACCAAAAGGCCCATGGAAAATGCAACTGGTCATTCAGAGAAGTTTATTGGGGAGCAGCTCTCTGGAGTCATCCAGCATGTCTAAAAACCTCCTGCCAGCCAACGTTTCTAAGATCCTGTGAACTACAACCCTTTCTTCATAATAAAGTTTTTAAAGGTTCTTTGACAACTAAAGTAGGTCTATTGTGATAAGGTTAGAAAAGAGTAAAGATTTTTTTATCTGAAGGAGAAGAAATGTTGCTTATCTTTGCTGTTAAGGAAAAAAGTAAGAAAATATACTTTAAAAGAACTGATGAGTGGGAACATAAATCCTAATCAATGTGTTTAGTTTGTGTGTCATTTAATGCAAAGAATCTGTCGTAACTGTGTTCTGAACAATTTCCTTCATGTCCCGGAGAGGCTGAGAGGCCACTAGGTGGTGAGAGCGAGCCAGCTCGCGGAGCCCGCGGCTGTGGAGACGTCTGGCTTGTACTTGTACTGCCGTATGCTGAGTTTGCAGTTATCCCTCTGGAATAACTGAATTACTATCAGAGCTCCAAATTAGTCTGGATAAGGATTTTGATAGAAATGGTAATGATTATGGACTCCAAATTTCTTAATTCCAACTATTTTCTTACTTTGGAAAAGTAGGACTCTTAACAAACTTTGAGAATGAAATTGGTACTTTGGAACCATGCCAGTAGTCAGTGAAAATCCACTGTAAACCTTTGGCGGCTTTCTTTGCCTGAAATTCTTTATTTTCATATATAGTAGCTGGGCTCTCATTTCTGGTGTGTGGTGGGGTAAAAGTAGGTGTTCACTAATGCTCACTTGATTGATACCTGCAAGTCCATCTTGCCCATTTCTTTTGTGTCCTGAAAGAGGAGCATGCTTGCCATTGGTGCATTGGTTAGCTACAACAGTTCCAGACCTGCACAGTGCAAGCAGTTCATACTCTGTCCACTACAAAGCTATCTATCAGGTACTTCCCTCTGTCCACCAAACTGTTCTCTGCTGATATTCCAAACCGTGGGATTTGATGAAAACTGTCTCATACTGATAATCATCCTTTCCTGTACCAGATTATTCTATCACAATTACAGCAAAATTGTGTTTTTGTCGATGTCCTGGTTGGAATAAGTTGTCAGTGAACTAGTTGCGGTGGCACTATTGGCCATTGAGAGTGTTGTGATTTGAATAATGATTCCATAAAGCAAGCAGGATGTAACTACGTCTTGGTGGGAATTTTGGTGCTGTGCAGAAGTGAATGTGCGTTTATGAGTATTGGCCAGATGTGGAAAACATTCTGGTATGTCTCTCATTACCTTTTCTGTAAAATTTCTGTTTAACTACCTTTGAATTTTCCCTATAATGCTTGCAATTTCGATAACTGTCAGAGTCCAAAAAAAATTTTTGTTCAAAGCACAAACTTTGAGGGTGCTTTTCTGTCTGAAGAGATGCATTGTAATTCTATGCAGTGTAAAAACTAACGCCTACAGTGTCATTTATTCTGAGAATGCATGTTTTTCACATAATAGACAAGGTGAAGAATTTAAGAGAAAGTATTCCCAGTGACACATTTGCAAAGAAATACAGATTAAAAGCCTAACTTGCGTAATTGATATTATTTTTGCTTTTCACTAATACTTACTGTAATGAATTTCAAACAGTTTTAACTGGATATTTACAAAAGGATTTCAAGTGATCTTACTGTGAAAATTTTCAATCTCTTTTAGGGTATTCCTGGTACGTGATAGCCAAAGTAACCCCAAAACATTTGTATTGTCATTGAGTCATGGATTAAAAATAAAACATTTTCAAATTGTACCAGTAAGTAAATTTTTTCAGTTTATGTGTGCAGTTGTAAAACCAAACAATTGAATAACTGTGATAGAGTATTGATGGATTTTTTTTTCTTTTGCTGTTCTATGGAAGATGTAAACCTGTATCACTAAATATAATTAGTATTCCCTAGTAGACTTGAACATTTTTGAGCTTTGCTTTTGATTTGTTCTAAAGCTTGACTAGTAGTATGAAATCCAAAAAAGTTTCTTGAAAAAACAGACAAGTCTATTTCAACAGGAATAGAAGCAACCCTGAAGTCATGAAAATCATGTATTAATAGAGGTCATGTTGCCTTTTCATTTTTCAGTATGTGCACAATTTCTTAGTCATTTGTTTTGGACTGTCTACGATGTGTGTCTATGTCTCACTGAGTCATCTGTTCAGGATAGTTTCAATATTTGTAGTCAAACATATTTTGTTGACCTCTGTTCTTGATTCATGTTATTATGATATATTCATGTCCAGGTCTTCTTCAGCGGGACAATTTTGTAAAAAAAACCCAAAAAACTGATATCTTTATTTAATCCATCTACTTTGTAGGTAAGCTGAAATTTCCTAAACTGGAATCATATTTTTATCAGTTTTCATCGAACATACTGTCCAGTTCTGCCAGAATAGCCAGCCTTCTCCATTGCTTCCACTCTCTCACGAGGTGGTCTGTGCAGGTTTCTTTACATGCTGCTTCTGTTGAGATGAGAAGCACTTAAGCATTATGTGTTTTGGCCACAGATGCTTGTCATAACTGAGCAGACCCATAGCTTTTTCATCTCTCTTCACAAGAACCTTTCTTCCAGACCACTTAATACTCTAGCGTCCATGTTTCTTCCTGCTGAAGTTTCTATGAGATTCTTCTGTTTCTCAGTAGAAATTTGTGTGGTGGCACATTTTTTTTTGTTTCTGGTCTGTTGATCCCCTGTGATCATTCACCACATTTCTGTATGCCTTACCTAGGGCTTGTAGCTGATATCCTCCCTTAAAAAAAGTTCCTGTAGAATAAAAGACTGAAGCATTATTTGGAAGCAAAAAAGCAAATCAGTTTAGTTAAAAGAGCTGTCCAGGATTTTGTTATGTTTAGATAAAGACAATGGAGGAGTCCTTAATCCAAAAGTGATGACTATGCCTTGGGTCCCATGTAAGCATCAATATATGGTCTGTGATAAGAATCCCAGGTGTAAGATCTCTATGATTCTATTGACTGCAGTAACTTCCGGTATTTACTTTGGGATAACTGTTGTTAGATTTAGAAAACATCCTGAACTCCATAGAAATAGTGTATGAGTCTGCTTTATTAGGATGTCATTTAACTCTCAAATTTGAGACCACTTTTTCTTTCCCTATCAGGAAACAGACCCTCTCTTTTCTAGGAGCAGATGTAGCAGGAAGCTGCAGTTACCTTCAGTTTTCTCTGAAATGGATGATTCTCTTTTTCCCTTCAAAAAATTATGCTAAAACCTCGCTCTCGTGTTGTGGGATCTTTGGAGGAACCAGGAATTCTTTGTTTTGATATATTCTTTGTCTATACACTTGGGTCACATTTCACCATACTGTTGGTTGAGAAGACCTATACCACTTCATTGCAGAACCTGTCCTACTTGATGGAAATTTTTTTTAATTGGTTTTTAAGTAAAGCAATTTCTCCTATGCTAGTAACCAGAAAAAAAAAATCTGTAGTGAGAACAGCTTAGTCCAGGGAGAGTATGTGGGTATGGAAGCTGTTTGTCCCCCAAACATAGGCATGTTCCAGTTCCTTTCTGTCACTTAATTTCCAGTTGCATTCAGTACCCTCATGCCATTCTCCATAGCCTGACTTACACATGCTCTATTTTTGCTAGAACAGTGCTCTTTAAGGAGTTCAGAAAATTATTCCTTGAGGAGGGGAAGGTTTTGGTTCCAGTTTCTGCTAATCTAAATGAAATGATTATTTTCTAAGAAACAAGGCATTTTGTATTACTGCAATAAATTCATAGCTTATTAGCTGGAGATCAGGGTTACCTCTTTGAATTTCAAATTCCACTGTTCTTCTAAAATCTTGCCTGTTTCCAGTCATTGAGAAGACAAACTTTCCTACTAAATGTAAATAAACAAATGGCATTATTTTTCTCTTGTATTTTAGGTTGCTTCAGATTATACTGCATTTAAAAAATGTCTCCTTTTAGGTAGGGCATGCAGCTTGCCTAGTTCAAGCTTCACCCATGTTAACAGATACCTCATGTTAACACTGGTAACCTGTGCAAGAGGTGTTGCAGGTGGGTGGTAGCGAATTGATTGTAAAAAGTTCAAAAGAAAACCTTTGGGATACGTTCAGGATCCTTTACTGTGTTTTTCAGCCTTTATACTCTGAGCTTATACAAGTTAACTTCAGTGTAGTCTTTCCCTAAATTAGCTCTTCTGTAGTACGTATGAAAAAAGGAGAATTGATACACAGTTCTGGGACTGTCTTTTTCCAATAAATGTTCTCTCATAAGAGCCTTCTTAGCTTGCAGAAGGTGTTAGGTTCCTGGACAGCATAACTTTGATACGACTTTTTACTTTGCAAAATATTGATAGCTTTAGAATTAGCAATCTGTCTGGTATTCATTTCAAGGTTTGGAACTAACTTGGAGGAGGAAACTAGACATTTGAATTGTTAACTCTTCCTTGTCTGCTGTCAGTTGGCAGGAAAATTGCATGCATAGGGAAAGTCCAATGAATGATAATCCATTTTCAGGTTCTTGGCTGGAGCACAGGAATTTACACATACACACATTGGTAGTTCCTTAACTAGCAGTGTTTGACCTGGTCTGACCAAAGTCTGAGAATAAAGAAATTACAAACTACTTCCAGGCATGGTAGAAAGGAGTAGAATAACCAGGCATCATAAGCAGTTCAACAGCTGCTTGCAGATAAGAAATCATAACTACAGGTAGCAGAGCTAATTATATCTTCTCCCTTCCCCTGTACTCAAGTAGGGTAGTTGCATCTTTCCCTAGCACACCATCTGCTACTCTATGCTAGCCCTACTTCAACATCTTCTGTTCACTACTCTGTCAATCTTGTATCTTTTTTCCCTTTTCTTTTTAAAAATAGTTGAAGAAGTTTTTTACCCTCTATTTACAAGAATATTAATTAGTCGCTTTTCCACTAAAGCTTCTTGATATTAGACATATTAGTAGTAGAGGAAATAAATCAAGAAATTATATAGTCAGTAGCACAGTCCTAATTGTGCAAGAGCTAACATTCAGTAACTTAGAATAGGGAAATACTGATTGTAAATTTTTAAGCATCTACAAGTCAAAAGGAATCTTTTGCAGTTTCTTCTTTCTCTCCTGTATCTGTGCTAATACACGCATTTGGAACTGCAGCAATTTTTTCTCCTACAACAAAAAACATCCTACTAAATCAAGCATGTTACTTTTGTGATGGGCAGTGTCTTGTGCAGCTGATACCATCCAGCACACCCCAGTGCACTAGTGTGTAGCCTCATCACACCTTATGAATTAAGTGATAGAAAATCATGGAATATGAATGGAGCAAATGTTGGAATCTCTGAGTAACTTGAAACTTGGTTGTTTTGTGTCACTGTGTAAAAACTCAGAGTTCATATTAACTCCAGCTATCATTCCAAAGCATAAAGTAGCATTGTTAGTGCAGAAAGAATATTCCTATATTTATTTAACTGTTCTTTCCTTTTAGGTGTGTTAAAAAATGCATTATTTTTCTGTCGTTTATTTTTGATGTTGGTGTGAATGATCACTGTATTTTTCCTTCTTTCAGTAGCCGTAATATTGTGAATATATTGGTCTCTAAGAACACTTCTCAAACAAGTATTCCAATCAGGAAGAAATACCATAGCAAAAGAGGATTTTATTGAATCTTGTTTTTCCATTTTTACAGTTGGAAGATGATGGGAAGCTATTCTATACCCTTGATGATGGTCATACCAGATTTACTGATCTCATCCAGCTAGTGGAATTCTACCAACTTAATAAAGGAGTTCTGCCTTGCAAGTTAAAACACTATTGCGCACGAATTGCTCTTTAACCAAAGCATCTGTTGTTTCATCAGAGGGAAAGGAAGATACTAGAATACTTTTCCCCTAGAGGCAATTTGTATAGTAAAAAGGGGGCAAAAAGCATTACATTGTAAAGATTCTATGTTTAAGCTGCAAAAAAAATTTATATTCTATATAGATAAGAACTTTGCTTTGTGATTGTCACAGCAAAATTAACTTTATGGTTTTAAAAAACCGTTCTTTCCTATGTAATTCTTCAGTGCTGTCTTGTACTTTGGGTTTTTTTTCAACTGAAAACAGTTTTGAAAAATATTGTCTATCTCCTACAAAAATATAACTGAAGGAAGATCTTCGTTCTTAGGTTAAAAATTAACTTTTTGTCTCTATAAATGTTTCTCATAATTTCTGTTCATCACATAAAAGAATAACATTTACTGTGGTGAGGTTAAGAAGCTGAACTGCACATTTTATTTGTAAATAAAATGAATAAATATTTTGCACTATATTTTTGAATGCTACTTTGAGGATTATCATATCCAAAAAGTGAAAAAATCATTAAAACCACTTATAACTGCTCAGTTGTATTGAGTTGTGCTATTATTGTTGTAATATTTTAAAGGATTTTTTTTTTCTCTAATGACTAAATCTATATCTTTGTACAGAGCAGGAGTGTCACTTTCTTGGCTGTGGAATGTATAAACATGCATAAGTTATTATGTAGTGCATAACATGGTTTAGTGCATACCTATAGTCTCCGACACAGAGAGAGAGAGAGAGAGAGAGAGACCTCTTAAATTTTGTGGATTGTTGCACAGTTAAGAAGGGAATCAACTTCAGTTACTCTTTAAAAATAAAGGTAATGTCTTAATATTTGCAAATTAACAATATTTACAGTACTTGCAAATAAAAATAAATTCAGTGGGCTTGACTCTGCTGAAAACCTTGTGAAAGTGTATGTGCAGTCAGTTCCTAGCTTATTTTATTATTTATCACAAAATAAAAATGTCAATACAGCTATCGGTCAACCAGTCTTTGCAGATTACCAAGTATCTAACAATCCAACTAAAAGGAACTGAGGTGGTAGACCAAGTCAAATTTGGGACCATAGCATTAGAAATACTTTTAATATCTGTGTTTTGAAAGAGAGATGATATTGCTGCATCCTTGAACAAAAACTCGAGTGCAATGGGGCCTGAACTGAATGAGGCATCCCTGGATGTCCTGATGCTTTGCTGTCCAAGAGATTTGATCTTGTTATGAGGGTTCAGGACATTGTCCTGGATATCTCTGTATGGTAAAAGGTGCTATTTGAAGATGGGCCATCACACCGAATCCAGCCCCCTTTCCTGTGCTTGCTTGGGTTCTCTGACTGTCAGGCATACCATCTGTGCTGCTGCAGGAGTTTCTGGGCAGAGAAGGTAAAGGAGGCCTGGGTAAGGGATGGAGTGAGTTGGACCCGAGGCACAACAGTGCCAGTGTGTGTAAGCTGTGAAGGCCATGTAGATGGAAGCATTAGAATAGTATGGTAACTGTAGCCTATGGTTTTGTTATTGTGTGTCTGTGGAAGGCAGGCATAATAACATAATACTGTGATACTTAATTTACTGACTTGATCCACACATCACTGACCTTTTCCTCTGGTATGCATATGCAGTCTTTAAAGCTCATTAAAAAAGCTGCTTTTCCTAATGTGTACCAAAGATGCAACATATGTGGTGCCTAAGCTCATTACATTAGGAATGCCTTGTAAAACTCTTTGCAGTCTAATAAATTTAACTCTTAAACCTCAAACAAAATTTCAAATTGTACTTAACAGAAAAATACCATTTTAATTAAAGCCTCTTCAGATTCACTTCAATAATGGGATTACTTCTCAGGTAGTGTTACTTTGGGTATTGATGTAGAATAAGGAGAAACTTTCTGTGCATCCCTGGGGTTTTTTTACCATCATGGCCAAATGAATTGTCTACTGTAATCCATTTCTCCTTGGACGTGTGAAAGCTTTGTATTTGTATTTAAGTATGCATGCTTGGTAGAGAATCTAACTGCTCAGTGAGTGAGTACCTGTCACCTTTGGACCTATCAGAAAAGAAAAGGGAGTGTAAGTATTATGTCACATTTGTCACACAGTGGAGAGCCATCAACCATCGAAGCTTTGCCTGCTTTTCCACTTTTTGTTTCAAAAGTGAAATTGAAAAAAAAAACCACCAAAAGTAAACTGAAATAAATAAAAACCCCCAAACCCAAGTAATTGCTTAATGAGTGTCGGATATGGACATTTGAAAGTTTTTAACTGTCGAAATTTCTTACACTGCAAAGCGTTTCTTCCTGCATTTTGACAGTTCTCTTAATTAAAATCTAAACAGAAATGTTGCTGAGAATACATTATTTCTTTTATATGAATGTGCATACCTTTCCTGAACTCTGTGATTATTTGTGACTATGCCAGAAAAAAACAAACAAGTAAAACTAATAAAATCTAGGCTACCTCCTTGTTTAAATGTTACTGAAGAAAGAAGCACAAAGGAGGTAGTCTTAATGTGTAAAAAAAACCCCCAAATACCACCCCTCAAAAGCCCCAATATTGTGATATCCCAGACTACTTCCAAATGTCTTAAATGGTACAAGTGGTTGATATGTGACTTGAAAGATACTTGCTAGCAAAGAATATTTTCTTGTCAGGAAAAACAGCAAGGAATTTTTGTGAGATCGCCCAGAATATGTCTGACCACAAAGTTCTTTCAGGGTGTAGGCAATGCTGTTTAAACAGAATTTCAGTGTGTTAACTGGCGCTTCTAATTAGGAATACTACACTTTGGTGCTCACCTTCACAAAGAAAATTGGCTGATCAGGAGTTGTTAACAGCTCAGGGAGTAATCAGTACTATTTTGGGCAAGCCAGTCTATCTGTCTCCCAACATCTGCTCCTCTACAAAATATGGACAATGTTATATCTATCTCATAGAGTGTTAAGGACAGATTTTATTCTTTCAAAAAAGACCGTAGAAACTGGTATTATGTGCAGAAGGTTTTTTTTTAATCCTTTCAGAAGTGATATGTTTTTACCTTTACTTGATGGAAAATCAGTGCCAGAACACCTAGTTTGAAGCACGGTATTTGAAAAACTTTTTATGCTTTCTTCAGAATTCAAATTTTACTTTCTGGGAGTGTGTCTGTGTAGTGCACTGCCAGGAAGAGAGAACTGAGCTTGCCATGCAGAGGTACTAGAAGCAGCATAACTGCTGGAGTCCAGCTTGCTATCTGGGGTAATTAGCCCTGCAGGGGTATGCGCTGCGAGATGTGAGCTGGTTCAGAGATTGCGCTAAAGCTCGGCATTGTATTTGTTGGCATGGCCTTTGTGCCTTGGTTTCAAATCTTAAAATCTTCTTGGCTCAAAGGAGATTAAAAGTTAATTCACTGCTTTCATAATGCATATACATACATGGCCGGAATTAAGGTTACATGGACGGCATTAAATGACATTTTTAAACTTCTGAGTGTTTTTACTTAACAATCTTATTAAGTCATTTAATGAATTTTTTGAAATGTAGTAAGTCTTCAAGTCATCCAACCAAATGTTTTGAAAGAGAGCTTTAACCCATTAAATAAAAGAGGATTATGTATGTAACTAACTACAAGTGGTATCTTTCAAAGATAATTGAATTTGTGTCAAATGTCTGTTACATCCTGGTTTAAGAATTATAGCATTTTGTGCTTCCCTTGGGGGTAGAATGAGTATGTAGTGTCAGTAGTCTTGAGGTGCCTCATTTTAAGTTAGAATCAGCTTATTTCAAGAAAATGGTCTTTTTTTGTTGTTACATTGGTAAAAGCTACCCAATCTAAACAGAATCCACACAGTCACCAATTAGTTTTAACTGTTTTAACCTGTTTATTAGATGTAACTTGCAAATCAGTCTAGCACTTGTCTCTAAGAAATCTGGTATGTACCTTTTGTTACCTTTATTAATTTAGTTTAGAAAAATATAAAGCAATTTACAGCATTTCTGTTTAGTTAGAAAAATAATTATTTTTATTATTGTCCTGATATTTCAAACTGCTATTCTAATACTCACACTGTAATGCATTCCATTTCTAATTTCAGCTTTCCCTGAAATCATCGAAGATGGGACATACCCCATTACTTGAATATACTTGTAAGCTTTCAGAGGTTAAACACTTATGGTCTATGCATAATCAATGTGTATGGTAGTGCAATTAATGTTAACTTTAATGAAATGCATGAATATTTAAAACTTAATGAATCTGGCTTTACAGCCTGGCTCACATATGTGAACAGTATTGACTGTTGGCCTCTGGATGTCAGCAGTGTATCACGAAATTCCTGTAATCAGCCGCTGTTTTCATGCTTCCTCCCAGAAATATCTGTGACTTGTGGTCTCTGCACACCTCCAGAACACCCAGTGCTTTTTCCTCTTATAAATTATTCACTTACTCTGTACCAATTAGTTCTACTAGTTGCTAGGTTTGTTATCAAGTTAAGCTTCAAGACAAGAACCTGAACTCAATGAGTGATTAAAAATTTATTAGCAGAGATGATTAAATATGCAGATAGTCTGTGAAGCTTGTTCTTGAAACCATTATATTACCTTTTTAATACTAATGATTTGTATAATTAATTTTATAAAAGCCTGAAAGTCTTTTAAAAAAAATCAGAGTAGGACATAAAAGGGAAGAGATTAAATGCAGAAGAGGCAGTGAACCTGAGCATTAAAACAGCTCATTCACATGTATAGGCAATAAAGTGATTTCCTTACAGGAATAGTTTGTGGTTTTTCTTCCCCTCTGCTAAGTTGATTATTTTATTAATCTTCTAAGCAATTTGGGAAAACTCTTATCAACTAGTGAGTTGTATTTTCAAAATAGAACTTGATGTGATTAACGCTGATAATACAGATGGTTCCTCTACACTTTACAGTTAAAACCATATCAAGATGCAGTTTATACATCATTTGAGCTCATGATGGATGTTAGGCATGTGAGGAGCCCCAGGGCTTCCATGGCAAGGAAGGTACAGGTGCATTAATGCCACATGGAACTGTGGGGCAGTGTGGCCAGTTCCAGGTGAAGTTTGTGAAAGAGGGGTTGTCCCCCACACTGGTCTTTTTTAGATGGTGTGTTGGGTGGTGAGCAGGGTCTTCACTATCACAGTGGGGGAGCTGAGACCCTCCAGAGCCTGGATTGATTAGGAACAGCCTGGGGCTGTTGAACCTGCAGGACTGGCTCAGGAGATGGGCCTGTCCTCCTTCCCATGGGGGAAAGAAAACAAATTACTTTATTGCCCCTTAAGGGACTAGGTGGAGTGGAAAGTTGGTCCTGGGGCCTGGCTTCTTGCTTTCCATGTTCCTGAGAGAAGAGAGCCCTCATGGCAGTGTGGAGAGCCAAGGTGGTGGCATCAGCTGTGGCCGTGGGCAGTGCAGGTGGCTGGCGCCATCCAACAGTGCTGGCGTGGCACAGCTCTTGGCATGTGCTGGTGTGTGCTGTGGTGTGTGAGATGGTTTGTATCACCTCTGTGAGAAGACTCAGGAGGTGACGAGACCTGGCCATGCTCTGGGAGCTGAAGCAGGCCAGATGCGTGAGGGAGGTGCAGGGTGAGCTGTGGCTGTAATCCCTCTGTGCCATGCCCTGCGGGGTGGGGCAAGCAGCATTCCTCAGGCACTGCAGTGGGGAGAGCCAGAGCTCACCGTTCTCCCCTCTCCTTCCAGCTCTGCCTGGTGCAGTGCAACCAAAGGCCATGACCGGTGGCCCCAGGCACCCCATGGGAGTGGGTTGCTGTGGATGAGGCTGGAAGAAAGGTGAGGACTTAGCCCAGCTTCTCCTGGGGGCCCTGGACAAGAGGGACATCAGCAGCCCAGTAGATGCTGTGGTGCCCTTTGCCTCCTGGAAAAGAAGGAGTTGCCCCTCAGGTGAGGCTGATGAGCCCCACCAGCTGG